ATAATGTGTATATATACATACAGTATATATACAGTATATATACAGTATACATACATACAATTTAAATCTGCACACACACAAAGGGGCTGATGTACTCAATTCCATGTATTCAATTCCAGCCACTAGATGGAGCCATGGGGGCATAGGAATTTTCTAGTTATGGCAATGCCATGCGAATGGCATTTGCCAAGCTATATGCTGGGTGGAACATTTATACATCAGCCCCAGTTTTCCAGGAACTAAAGTGCTCAAAAAAATTAAAAAATGATACCAAAAAGTCTTTCAAATCTATCAAAGGGGCCGATTTATCTCTATTGATATTTTGTTTCACACAAAAAAAAACAAAAAACAGTAATTAAAATGTTTTGTGGTTACTGTCCAAATGACCTTTATAGAGGGCAAGCATATATAATTGCAGCATTTGGAAAATGTTTCAGCTTCTTTTACTTTATCTAGTTTGTTATTGTAACCTCTAACTAATGCTCAGTGACAGAACAATTTACGCATCAGAGCCCTGGGGGATGTAGTTCCTGTAAATATTCATATAGGCCATTCTACTGCTGAGGTCTAATGAAAATACCAAGAGGGGAGATACATTCAGCTCATGTTGTTTTGAAAAATCAAGACACTGCAGGAATTTGTTCAAGGGCTGCTGTGTAAGACGCAAAGTATAATAATTTACAATGGTATGCTGTGGTTACTAATGCCTTCACCTCAGATTCCCTTTTTTTTAAATCACAGCGAGAAATAGATACAGCTCAAGTACGGAAGAAATTGTATTCTAGCCCCTTAGTCATTATAATTATTGGTTTTGCTTAATACAATTTAAAAGCATTCAAACTCTGCACAGCATTCATGAATGTATTTGAATATATCTGAGATAATAAAAGTAAATATTTTCCTTAAACGGAGCCTGTCAGAAAAGAGATATGGGAGCTACTGCCGCGACTTTCATCATTTTCCTTGCTGCACCGTATAGTAAATCAATGACCCACAACTAGTGTGGAACTAGAAATGTTTGAACATCTGAAATGAATACCTGGTCAATAATTTACTGGGGTTGGTTTACTGAAGTAAAGAATGTTCACTTTACAAAGTGAATTTTCACATAGCTTAATTAATGAGTTAAACTTATGTTCACATCAATCATGTGCAAGCATAAAGCTGGGTTTTAAATGACCTTTGCTAATGATTTAGTATTTAATGCTAATTCATACAGCTTTGCTTTACTAAACTTACCTAGCTCAGTTAAAGTGTCTGATACCCCCCAACATTATTTTACATATACAGTACATATCTGTTCTTTAATTTTCTTTTTTTATCTGCTCTTTTTTTATTGCTTGAATTCTTCAGAAAAACCTGGTGATTCTGACAGTCCCCCCTTTGCCCTTTTTCATTCTGAAAACATACAGTTCAGAACGGGATCCATGCATGGCGTGATTAGTTTACATATCGTGTCCTTCTTCTTTGGAGATATAGGATGCCATACCAATGCCCGAAGTGCCAGTATGTCCTGTAGTCAGTTCCTCTGCCACACCCTCTGTCCAGCCCCGCTGTGGTAACTGACAGTGGCTGCCAGCAGGAGCCTCACTGTCAAAACCAAATCGCACTCAGATAGGGAAAGTACTTTTCTGCTGTGTGTGTAATGTCACTCTGCTCATCTGTAGAGTCCAACTGTGGTGGATGGAGGGCCACACCTACTGTGAAGTATCATATGAGCCCTGCCCCTCCTCTCCAATGATTGACAGCAGTATAAGGAGCTGCCCTAATTCCTTCTCTGGGCGTATTTGAAAACCATGTTCTACTTAAAACTTCAGCTGCCCCCCATGTGGAAAAGGGACCAAAAGGAAGGCTGTATGGTTACGTCACCGTTGAATACAATTTTTCTAAAAGATTACAAATGTGTTTTTTTGACAAATCTTAATGCAAATTTGTTAAGCACTGAATATTCCATTAATTCAGATGTGTTTTGGTGTTGTGTGTTTACATATACTGCAATATTCACTTTGTTAGGTAAAAACTCTTTACCTCGTTTAGTGAATCATTCCAAAAATAAAGAATGCATGAGCAAACATGACAAAAGTTAGACTCTCCAAACAACAGCTGGCAATGGTAGTACCCATATTTCATTTTGGACAGGTTCCCAACCCTGGGCTCCAGTTACTCCCCCAGTGCCCCCCACCCCCACTCTTTGGTGGGGGTGGGGGCACTTACATTTTCAGATGTCCATGTGATCTGCAGAATTTTCTTTAGATATTCTCAAGTGGTTCTTAATGATGCAGTGAGCGGTGATAATGTCAGTGCCACGCTCTGCATCATTATACTGCGAGGGTGGTAACACCACCTCAGAATGAGATCTAGCAATTTTTTGTTAACAGATTTAAATCCTGATAGCCAATTTTTTTTAAACTTTGCGACATATGAAGGCCTGACAAGCATGTATATATTATAAGTACCATTGTATAACAAAAATCCCAGTAGAGCCTTCCTCAAACAGAAACCCAGAAAATCAAAGGTTTATTCCTTCTGTAAGGCTAATGGGTAGAGCCATAAACATCATTGATTTATGCCTGTGATCAAACAGTGCATCCAGAACTACTGGTTGCTAACAAATGTACAGACTAATATTATAGAATCATGTATTCCAAACTGCATACAGCCCACCTCACCATAACCTGTCTACATTCTCATAATTTTTTAAATATATTAAATCTCAGACATGTTACTAATTGATTAAGCATCATAAGTAGGTATTTACTGTTTATATATGAGCTTATAAAAATAGAAAGTGGCAAACAGTGGCATAATTAAAAATTGGATTAGCCTGTACATTTTGCAAAATGTAAAATAGTATTACCTCATGGAAAACAAAGCTGATACTGTATGACAACTTTGCTACAATAATACTCCACAAATAAAATATTTGGTTACCTCCAACTGCATTACAGCGGGATGTAATTTCCCATAACACAAGTGCCATGGAATACACATCTGTCTGTTTAAATGATTCCATATTTTCCAAATTTATTCTGGATTCAAGGACTTCTGGAGCCATATATCTGGCAGTTCCAACCTGAAGATACAAACATAAAGGATGTAAACATACATTTATAAGAGCAATTACATAATTCTGTTAGGCTGGCTTTACACCGCGTTGCGCGTGTTAACAGAATTGTTACTAAAATGCATGGTACTGCAGCATGTATTCACTAATGCATGACAAAGCCATTAATACTGAAAAGCACCCCAACACATTAAGCTCACAGATCTGCACTGCAGCACACAGTAAAGAACCACCATGTGTTGTAGTATGCCACGTAGCCAAAAAAGAGTCATGACTGGTTTTAGGTGTGCTGAGATGATTTTAAAAAGAATAGGCTGTCTTAACGCAATGAAGGTTATTGTGTGGCTTAAAGCACATCAATGTGTGTGCAGTAACACACTGCAGTGCACCACAAAGCAGCCTTGCAGCCTGATTGTAACCTAGGTAACTGTTGGATAGTTCTGCTTTTATTTTTCCTTACCCCAAACTCCATTTTCCGGCAGCTGGCTAAATATGAGGACCACCATGCTGTGAGAGCTGTGGTCTCTCTACAGTTGTCCGGCACACCCCTGCTGCACTGTCACAACTACTGTGCTGCAAACAGCATTCCTCACATTTCCTGTTGTTGGTGTTGTAAAATGGACATAAATCTGATTCCTCCATTTTGAAGAAATATTGTAGTGCTAGCTTATCTACTCCAGTTGACCTCAAAACTCATTATGAAAGCAACATGGCATCAATACCTTTATGGTAAAGGAAATTAGACTTGCACAAGTATTATGGTTTTGACAGAGTAAGAAGAGTAAATACCTGAACCTCTACAAACATTTTTGGTGACTCCTTGGGATACCCTTGTTGACAGAAAGCTGCCTGAAAATTTCAGGAATTGTACTACTTATGCTTGTCCACTCAAGGAGTCTAGTCATACTACTATACACATATTTTTTGCTATTCAAGTAACAGCGGAACAAGAAGTGAAAGAAAATGTATTCTACAAAGACACAGAAAAGTAAAAAATGGTCAGAACGTCTGTCAGACATTTATTACACTTAGTTCTCATTATGGACATTTTATTCCCTTTACTTTCTTCCCAGATGACACCACATGTGTCAGTATGAAACAGTTGTAACTAGGGGTACCTGACCTTCAAAACAAGCTCATACTACTCTGTAGGTAATTTTTTTTAAAATCATCAAAGAGTATTTTAACCATATGGAACAAAGCCTGATATACACCATGCTTTTTATACAGTATGTTCAAATTTTAACCATATGGAACAAAGCCTGATATACACCATGCTTTTTATACAGTATGTTCAAATTTTAACCATATGGAACAAAGCCTGATATACACCATGCTTTTTATACAGTATGTTCAAATGCCATTTTCAGACCTACCTGTCCACTATTAGCAAGATCATCCACTGAAAGAGATGGATCCAACCACAGAGATAATCCAAAGTCGCATAAACAACAAGTGAGGTCATTTTTAACGAGTATATTTGAGCTTTTCAAATCTCGATGCACTATTGGAGTCTTTGGTCTTCCACATGGTGTCTGGTCACTATGTAAGTGGGCAACCCCGCGAGCCAAAGAGCCACCAAGCAGTAAGAGGTCTTCCCAACAAATGATGTGTCTTGATAAATATTCCTGTAAATTGCCTTTAGAGTGGAACGCTGTAATTAACCAGTATTGCTTTCCAACATCTGTTTTCCTCTCTTCAGCAGTCAAAAACTGTAAAACATTTTCATGTTTTAGATTAATATCTGAAAAAATTTCCTTCTCCATTTTCCAAGATGCATATTCTTCATATGGAAAAATTTTGACAGCTACTGTTTCAAACTGGTCTGAAGTGTTTTGTTTGAGTTTGGCTTTGTAAACTTCAGCAAATCGTCCTTTTCCAACCAAAGTGTCCAGTTCAATGGGAAGAAGTTCAGTGTTGTGATTCAGATTGTTGGCACATGTCGAACTTATATCTGAACGGTCATCATCTAGCATAATGGAACAGTCCATATGTCGATGTTTGCTGCATTTTTGGTTACTGTCCCAGTTCTTGTTCAGCTTATTTTTTCTATGAACTCGGTAACAATAAAAAATGATGATTACTGCACCTGCAATGGCAACTGGTGGAAGAAGACTTGCTAGTGCAACAATGGTTGTGTCCGGGCCTTTAAGTTCTAAAAAAAAATGTGATTTATATAAGAATGATTAAGAATGCAACAGCAATAGCTTTGAAGTGAAATTAAAGCCAAACGGTTTTTAATGCTGATTGTATCACTTGGATGCTGCTACTAGATGTTTAAACGTTTTACTTTCCTGTAGAATCAGCTGGTCACCTGAGCTCTGGCACTGATATCTTGTTTTAGGGCCCATTCGCACATCCAGATCATCTCCAGATCAGACAAGATTGTTTCCAGACCCAAAATGCATCCTAATGTATCCCTATGCTATTTCTGGCCTCTGATCCCACCAGCACAGTCTGTTCCAGACCAGACCAGAAAAATACTGCATGTCTCATTTTGTCTGGTCTGGAATGCACTGGAACTACAGGCATGTTCTGGACCGGAAAATGGTGTGAACCTGCCGTTAGGGTAGCTCCTTTTCCCTTGTAGGGTCCTGGGAGCCACAGCAGAGCAAGTCAATCCTCCCATTCTTTCCTCCTCTCTTTTCTAAGCTAGAGGATTGACAGCTACTGGAGACTGCTCTGTCCCTTATGATCTTGTACTGCACATGGGTAGCAGGGCCGAGAGAGTTGGAGCCAGCTGTTTGAAAACATGGCAAGTCTAAATGCTTGGGCAAAGATGTAAATAAATACTTTGCTGGGAAATGTAGATTTGTTTGACCTGGATTCATTGTTGAGAGGTCCATACTACTTTAGAAACTCTTCAATGGAGTCTTGGTTTGTTAAGTGCCAACATGAAAGGACCCTTCATGCAGTGGCTTGCAAGATAACTGTGTGCAATTGCTACCAAAAAGTATAAATAGCTAATGTAGCACAGTTTAACAATAAAATAAATACATGCAACCAAGCAACACATAAACTAGAATTATCACTCACTATAAATAATGATTTGATTAAGACCATTGTTCTGTCTATCTTTTCTTGAAATCTATGTGCTGCTCATTCTATCATTCATATTAGTATAGTGCTGACATATCATGCAATCATTCCGATTTCATTTTAGAACATGCAGCAAGTAGCGCTGGTCATTAGCTAATGTCTTGCAGTCTGAAGGTAATGTAAGCTTACTGCCAGGATAAATGTGAGGTAAGTGATATTTATACAGTGTATTATTTAGCTGTCTGCAGGAGCTGAGCATCAGCTTGCTGTGATTGTCTTCATTGCTGAGCACAGAAAGGAAACATCACATCTAACACAGAAAGACCATTTGCTTTCCTGCTGCTGCTAACAAGGAAAGCTGTCCAGACTTCTGTTTTCATTTATATAAAACACTAATACATGACTATATAAAAGAGCAATTGCTGAGTTCCAGCTTTTGTTAATGGAACCCTTATTAGGGCCTGCATAGTAGATATCTATACCAGGTTATACTTTTTGTTTTTTTACACACTTTTAATTTATTGGTTAAGCACTAAGCATGAGCATGTCCTCATATAGCTCCTATTAAAGGTTAACCTCACATTAAATTTAATTTAAAGTGAGACTAAACTCCGGATTTAAATCTTAAAAATGCTTTCAAGTACCTTAACTATTAACAAAAATGTATTTTATTTGTGTATCGCTCAGCTGTAGATCCTCAAATCATCTCTGAATTGGTGCAGACACTGTCCTTCCTTCTAGAGCTCGCTCCTGTGATGGACTACAATCCCACGTTTACTTTACTCATTTGTACTGAGATAAACTATGAAGGTTACAATGAAACTCTCAGTGCATTAAAAAGAAGAATTAAATGCATTGGAAGAAATGAAGAAATGAAACAATTCTTCAACATGACAACACCAGGGCTACACACAAATCTACCATATAACCCAGACCTGGCTTCTAGTCATTTCCACCAGGTCCTGCTAAAGGAACACTTGTAGACTTCACCTCTTCATCACAAATAAAGCACTGGGCTTTATCTGTGATGAAGAGGTAAAGTTAGCAGTGAGGAAATGGTTTCAAAAACAAAACACCATTTTGTTTTAAGGACGGTTTTCAAAAACTAGTGCAGAGTTAGAAGAAGTGTATTGAAATGTGTTGTGATTCTGTAGAACAATAAATATGCAGCTTTGAAAATAAATGATGTAGGTATATATAGAAATATCTTTTCCCATTCATTTTCTATTGAAGTGGAGGCAAAATGTATCAGCCTGTCCTCGTAGCTTTTGAAGAGGTTGAATGAAATAGGGAAATGTATAAAATACATATATAAATGTAGAAATGTATAAAATACGTATTTATACCTAAACAGATATACTGCAATGTAATTAAAATGTAAAGAATAACATTGAGTTTCTATGTCCTTCTTATTTTACCCAATGAAATGTTCATAAATGACTGTATGTAGGTTTACTATACAGATGATATACACATGATGAAACAAAAGCATCCATCTGCAGGCAGAATCTCCAGCTGAGTTCATTATAAATCAATCTTTTCTAGAAAAAAAAATCTGCTTTATTTTAAAAATAATTGATCTACAGTGAACTCATCTGCTCTGTAGCATAAGATGCATTAAAAATGTGCTGAGAACAGGTGACATGTCTATAATAAGAATTATAACATTTTCCGTTTCTACCAGTTACACATTTTTCCAAGCCAGGGTGGGGTCTTGAGCTGAGGAAGACCACTCACTCTTCACTCCCTCATGTTTCTATTATATGTAGGAAGACAAAAGAGGCTCCTTAGGAAGTGACATATGACTAGCAGTTATGTTAAGACAGGACCCACACATACATAACTCCCTTTTCCTACTTATTCAACTAACCATAAAGTTCACAATTACAACTATATTTTTAAATGTCTGTGAAGGATCTTATTTACATAGGTCATGGTATAGTTAGTAGTAGTTAGCCCCATTCCATTGTTCCAGTATAATGTGACTAACTACTCCTAGCTATAGATTTCACATTGTTAAAATCTACTAATTTTAAAGTGTATGTAAACCATAACAATTACCTCCTCTGATTTGCTCCCCTTTGGCAGCCTTGAACCCTGATGCTACCATGGGGTGTTAAATGTATGATAATAACAGCAATGTGCACAGAGCTATAGAAAAACAGTTAATGCAACCTCAAATACATTGGCGATATAAAAGGGTGATTGACATCACCCATATTGCTGAGTGATTATACATGAAAAAGTACATTGGGTTGTATCAAAAAGTAAGTCAGATGTACCTTGTATTGTAAACTTTTCGTTGCACTCATCTTCAGAGCAAGAGCACATAAACATTGTACCGCCAGCCATCTTTTTTTCTTTCATTGTACAAGATGGTTCGGTGTACTCATCAAGCATGTGACCATAAAGTTCATGTTTGGGGCTATGGCACAGTGTTTCCTCAGTTATATGAGTGTCATTATGTTTCCTTCAAAAAAAAAAAAAAGCAATTCACATTTATGCAGTTAAAAAATTGGCATTAAAAAAAGTTACTTTTTTGCAGTCTCAACATTTTTTTTTTATAAATCATTCAAAAACTAGACCGTCCGTTTTGAGTGACAACTGTTAGTTTTTTTATGCTGTTTGTCTCACTGGAGAGGCGATTTCTTCTCCCATCCTGTCTTAGTGAAATCCTGTAGGCAGATCTACACAGTAGAGACATAGGGGTCTATTCACGAAGCTGCCGAGGGCAGCCGAGTGAATGACCGATCTGAAGTGAAGTGAGCCGAACACTGTTCGGCTATTCACTTCAGGCTGGTACGGCTAATTTCAGCCGTACATCGGCTGAAATCAGCCGTACATCGGCACGGCCAGATCCTTCGGCAGCTTCGGGAATAGACCCCATAGACAACAATAAAAACATGATAGCGGTTCTAACTCTTCTCCACTTAGGCCTTGTTCACACCAAATGCAGACCAGATCTGCAGGAGTTTCTGCACACGCAGTGTAGTGGGTTGTGTCGCGTTTTTGATGCGTTCCGGGCCGTTTTTGGTAAACGTTCCAGAGCAGGTACAATAGGGCTTGCTGCAGTTTTTTTACATGCTCTGGAACTGAACGCTGCGGTGTGAACTAGAGCCCAAAATACCATTGGAATACATTGGACACAGTTTTGATGCGGTCTGTAACTGCTCTGCTCTTGGAACACGCTTGGTGTGAACAAGGCCTAAATATATCACTAAAAGAGTTGTATTATATGTTGGATAAGTGCAAAAATACTTGTTGATCATGTCAGCAATTTTGAGCTATACTGTTATTTCAAACAGTGTTATCAGGAAGTGTGTTAGTAGCAGAGGCTGGATGACAGAACACCTCCTCCTAGATTTTGGAGATGAGGAGAGGGGGAGGTGTCAATGCTGTTCCTCTATAGATACAGTATGGTGAAGGAACATTGTCAACCTAGGACAGGATGTCTGTTATTGGCAAAATCATTAGAAGAAAATAGAGGAAAAAAAATACCAAACTCTAATGCAGACATCACATCTAAGGACTTCCCTGTTTGGGTTTTTGCAGCAACATAAGCCAAACAAAAACTGCATGGTAATTCCTGTATTGTTAGATTCAATGGTATAGTTTCCATTCACATGTTTTTAGTGGTTTACAGTTTTCCTGGCAGCCTTTAAAACCTTATTTCGGCCAAAACACATCCTCCACTGATATTAACGGTACTGCTGGCAAAACACGTTTATGGGAATACAATAAAGCATTTTTTAGATAGTATGGTCCCTTTAAAACAACCTACACCTAATTAATGAAAGCCTTGCAACAGTTTTAGTTTCAGTTCCGACATGTGCAATGGATTCTGGTAGCTCTATTACCATCACTTTAAGAACCTGTCGCTATGGCTGCAACAGGTTAAAAAAAAAATAATGTTTAACTGATTATAAAAGAAGAGTTGATCTTAATTACCCCCTGTTTCCTAATATGCAAAATGTCAGTAATTAAGACCAAGCCTAAGCTGTTAACAAGGAGCCTAGGGTGCTGCTGGCTGACATCATTGCCAGATATGGCCAATGCCATATTTGGGTAATATCAACCAACATCCCTCATCCCTTTGTCAGCCCGACAGCTTGTCAAGGCATTATATTAGAAGTTGAAATTTTAATGCTAAAACTTTATAGAAGATGGAACAAGTAATCTTTATATTTAAACAAAAACTACTAGGAAACATATGTTATATCATAAATATACCACACTATCAATGCAGTTTAAATGATTTTTATAGTGCCAGTAAAACAAAAATCAAAATCTGGCCTTACCATATTGCCACACACACTTCATCATAGAATTCACAAAAGGCAGTTTTGTCACAGGTGCTCTTACAATTCCCATCACTTATTAAACATGTTGATGGTAGACTATCACAAAACCTGCACAAATGCTTAAATGCCACCTTTCCTCCAGGTTCACTGTGCCAGTCAGGTATCTTGCCTACAGAAGAATTTAATTAAAGTGAAACAGGATTCAAATATATTCTACAATATAAAAATATACAGTATGGCTAACAACAAATTATCTATTTTGTGTGCTAAAAACAGTGTCGGTGATTCAATATAACATTTGCAATGCTTTTCTGAAGGAATGGCTGTATTAGAAACTCCTCCGCCAAAAAAAGAGCAACAAACTCTTTACGATTAACTCCATAAAAAAACTAGAGGCCACCACCTTAAACTGGTGGAGAAAAAATGTCAGCACAAGGGGCGAATGAGTTTCTTTTCAGTTAGAGCAGTTAGGGTCTGGAACTCGCTGCCACATGCCGTGATTGCAGCTGAGAGTGTGGGATCATTCAAGAAGCTTTTGGACGATTTCCTTAGGGACCATAATATACAGGGCTGAAGGTACACTTAAGAACGAGATTACATAGGGACCTCTACATACGCACACATCAGCAGAACCATATACATGCACACAAAAGGTTGGACTTGATGGACTTGTGTCTTTATCCAACCTCAAATACTATGTAAAATTCATGAAAGCCCTGCAAGTTTTTTTGCAAAACATGCAACAAATTCACGTAATTCTTATGTGTGTCACTTTACATTTAATGCTTAAGCAAATTAAAGCAATTGGTGGACTGAAGTGCGTAGATTACTAACAGGGTTATTCACAAAAGGGTGAAGAGTTTGCAGAAGGCAGGAGAAGTGAACAATCTAGGACAACATTGCTGAACTAGAAAGTGAGCCGAACTGGAGAATTTTTTCCAAATCAGCTATGTTGTCCTAGATTGTTCACTTCTCCTGCCTTCTCCAAACTATTCACCCTTTTGTGAATAACTCTGTAAGTCTGACCATTACCATACACTGCTCACAAGGTTGCACCACAAAAGCACATGTCACCATAGGGAACAGCCATCTATTCTAGCATGTAGGGATTCAAGTTGAATTTTCAGTTAAACTGGTATACATTTCCATTCTTATGAAGTCTTTTTGTCAGACTAGTATTAATAGTATGCCCATCTACCTGACTCCTTTGTCACCAGGTACTGTACATCCTTAGAATACTGCATCTCTCTGGTAATCAATTCACTACTCTTCTAAAAATATTTTTTTACATTTTTGATAGAGTAGGGATATGCTAAAACAACATTGTCTGCTCTATGTGTGCTGGGGAGATTTCGCTTTCATTCCTGTTCCAGAGACATAACAGGTACAAGTAAGAGGAAATCTCTAAAAAGTGAGGCTAGCTATCACCCAAAGGCCCCATTCACGCTAAGCGACACTTATCTAGAGCGGATTTGCATGGCCGGGATAGCGCGTCTGTTCAGGGAGACGTTCCAGCGACGATCGCGAAACCTTCACCGTCGGGCTGCATGCAAAAATAGCAAAATGCGACAAGCGATGAGCGACATGGAGCTGTTCAATAGAACAGCTCCATTGGAAATCATTGGACGCTGTTCTATTGAATATCGCACGGAAAATTTGCTGCGTTATCGCGATTAAACGCTCAGTGTGAATGGGCACTTAGACAACTGTCACAGGTGTAACCATTGGAAGACTTACCCTTACTTCTTGTTATGGTATCAAAAGTAAAGTTTGGATTCTCTTCCACTTCATGCTCTAGTGACCATGGTCACAAGGACAAAGACGGGTAAATCTCCCCAGCGGGGACACAGCTGACAGGGGTTCTACTCTCCCCTACTCTATCCATCTACACAAAAATGTTTTGTCTATAGCTTATATATGTAAACTAAATGGTGGTAACAACATAAAGCATTACCTTTAGAATTATTGCTTTCATCTATGACTTTGTGACTCATAGGTTCTGTATGATGTTTTTTTGCTGTTGCTGTAAAAATAGAAAAAAAACATGTTGCAAGAAAATAAGATTTATTCAGGAATTAATTGCTATCAACTCCAACTACTTATGTCAGCAAGTAAAATAGTGATCATCCCTGATTCTACTTCCAACCCCAACATGTACTTTCTTATTATGTGTACTTTAAAGCTGAACTCCAGAATAGGCAAATATTTTCTAAGTGCAAGAGCCATGTCTATTTCTAATTGAATCCTGGTGTGCTTTGGATTACTTCCAGATCTTTGCATTAAAAGCACTCACCTCATAGCACTCACCTCATAGTTCTCCTTTAATCAGATTAAAAACATTGTGCAAGAGATTTCTGTAATAAAGACCAGTCACTGCTGCTCTCTCAATTTGTGCAGGGTAGCTGGTCTTGTATCCACCCCCTTCTGTAGTTTTCTGCAGGCAGCCTGTAGTAGGTGGAACCTGCTGGGCTCCTCCCACAGCTCTGCTCTGTGGCTTTAAAAAGGCATTTGGTGGACTTAAAGTGGATTTATATAATTTGTGATTAATGAAGAGTATATTTAAGCAAACGTTTGTATTCTGGCGTTCAGCTTCATTTGGATGCATGGTAATTAGCCTTACAAGTGAATAGTTATAAGGATAGTTTTACAGTGCCCAATTCTACTTATACAAAATGAGTCATATACTTTTGCAAATGGGGTACAAAGATAGATAGATACAGGGCTGGCCTTAGGCCTTTAGGCGCCCTGTGCGAGAAAGCTTTACAGCGCCCCTCAACAGTTGTGTCTTCGCTTTGAACAACAACAATTACAATTTGAAAGGGGCTCACAGACACAAATTATACGTACCGTCTTCAAAAATAAACTTAGAATTACACTCATCAGTGTTACAAGTGCACATGAACATCGTCTCTCCCAAGTGGTTCTTTTTTTTCATGTGACATTTTGAGGAGTTATAGTCATCCAGCTTGTGTCCATACAGTTCCAGTTTGGGGTCATGACACAGTGTTTCCTCAGTGACAGAAGAACCATTGCTTCTCCTACAAATAAAACATAATATAATTGTAGAACCAAGAGACTGGTAACATGGCACACTTAATTTACTTGGAGGTAAATGCATCAGCAGCGGATCTAAAGAAGCTGATGCTCTGATAACTAAGGAGACAAGGCTTTTCTGTTTTTTTTTTTTTTTAAGGGAAAGGAGGTCTTAAGAGCAGATAGGTCTCGGGGGGGAGACAAGGCTTTTAATACTCAGCCTAGACTCATGCTGGCGATACACTGATAACATTTCTTCCAATTCCTGCTGAATCGTTCAAAATTCAAGCTGTGGGTGGCCCTGTCAACTTTTGTCGAAGAACCTGGGTAAAAAATTGTTGGCTTAACAGAGAATGCAGCCAACAAGCTGCTGCTAGCTGTCAGAATACAATAGATTTCTCCATCCATGTGGAGTTGAATGAGATAAATCTAGTGTGTGGCACTGATATACCTCAAACAGTGCAGAATTTGCAAACTCCTTAACCCCTTCATGATGGGAGACATACACTGTACGTCCCATTACAAAGTCCCCAAATGACTACTCACGTACATTGTACGTGATCAGCTATTTGGAGCTCTGTCAGGCTGGTAACCGCTGAAAATCAGCGGTTAACGTTCAATAATGGATTCCTCAGTAGTGAAATTAATTCACATTGACTGCTTGATAGAACTAAATAAATAAATACAAAAGCGTAAAAAAATGTTTAAAAAAAATAGTGAAAAGTATTTTAAAAAATAAGTGTAAAAAAATTAAAAAAATAAATGTTACAAATAAAAATTATATATTTAAATGTATTTTTTATACTATCAGTAATATAAAAATGACCCCATTACAATGAAAATCTGCAGCTGAGCTGCAGATTTGTTTTTCACCCTAAGCGGTTATTTTTTTTAAAAATGTAACCCCCTTATGACAGTGATGTTTAATGTATGTCGCAGTCACTAAGTGTGACACTTATTGACAGTAACATTGTATGCCAGGTGACCACTTTTAGGCCTCATTCACACGAGAAAAGGCTGGCACGTACAGCTCTGTGCTGCGTACACGGCCATATCGGGCAGCTCGCCGGGAAGGACAGGTGCTGCGTGTGGTTAGTACGTCCCAGGCGAGGACTTTCTGTTCATGTTGCCTGGATGAATAAAGTTATCAGCGTTTCAATTGTGTTCAGAGCACGACTGGTCTTTTCCTTTGGATATGTGCAGTCTTTGGGACACAGAACAAGCCCTTGTTGGTATTAAGTACCTCACCTTCCATAAGGGTGTTTCAAATCTTGGGAGCAACATATTTTAAACTTTTGTCCTTAACATTACAGTCCTCCCACTGGAGAGTGGAGAAGAGGACCCAATACAAGGAACACAGCCTGTATCACCAAAGGGGAGTCTATAGAAGGACGTTGAGCAGAGAAGACCTGGATCATAAGGCTAGGTTCACACCTGCACTACACAGCACAACACCCGGGGCGCGCGTCCCGGGTGTGGTGCGGTCCTGCACAATGCAGGCAGTGATTGCCGCATGGCCCCATTGGTTTCAATGGGGTGACATCCGTGCTGCAATCACAGAAAGAACCTTCTTTTTGCGATACACGACGCGCAGCTTTTTGCGAAAACTGCACGACCCGCCTTGCGCGACTAGGGTGCCATTAAAAAATAATGCCACCCACAGCGCAATCGGTTCACACTTTGGCGACTCCTGACCGAGCGGCAATCCGCGTGGAATCGTGCACGATTGCCGCGTGTATTGATTTCGTCTAGGTGTGAAACTAGCCTCAAGGTTCTTTAGACTTTGTTGTATGTAAGTGGCATGGCAACTGATGTTAGATGTAGTGCAGAAGCATATAGTGCATGCTTACCAAAGGATAAACTTTTTTGAATATACTTCCAGGTATGAAGGGACAAGTGACTCATTCCCCCTCCTCTCAGTTGACAGCCCAGGTACTTGGTGATTGAATAAGCACCATCATATGGGGGTGGGGGAAGCATTGTCACCCTGTGCAAGCTCCAACTAAAGCATTGGTGAGTTTATACAGAGCTTACTTCCCCACTCCTGATGCTTGAATGAAGCAGAAGGGGAGCAGAAGGTAGATACAGTATGTGCATATTGCTGGCGGACCAGCCATTTAAGAAAACCTGTTGCTTTGGGTTAAATATTACGTTTTTGTCAACATATTCAAACAATATAAATAAGCTGATTAGGAACTCTATTAAGAGCTAGATTACATAAAACCAAAGATATAGTCTATCAATCATTAAAAAAATAAGAAATAAAACTTGCATTGCTTACCATATGGCTACACATACTTCATCCGCATGTTCACAAAATGAAAATTTATCACAGGAACTGTTACAGTGACCTTTGTTTTGTGTACATGTTGTTGGAAGCACATCACAAAATGCACATGTTACTTTGAGCTCCTGGAATACGAAACCTGGTGGACCTAAAAAAAAATCAATACCATTTATTACGTAAGTCACATATACAAAATACAAAACCACTAATTATCTAAGAATGAGCTCTACAATTTCAGTTTTAAGTTTAAAAAAAACATTGCTTCAGTCTAGGAATTGGGGAAAGGCCACATAGTCTGTGGCAGGTATAATAGATGTTGCAGTGGTGGGGAAGTTGAACTATAATGTACAGCCAACTAGAAAATCAAATGTTACTGATATACTTATATGCTACATAAAGACACACACACAATATTAGGGATACACCGAAATTTCTGCCGCCGAAACACATTGGCCGAAAATAGCACTTCGGGCAAAATGACGAAAGTGCCATCTTTCGGCCGCAATTGCAGTGCATCCCTGCTTTCTCTCCTCCCCGCTGTGCGCTGCTCTGTGTCCCCTCTGACACAACGCAGCGTCCAGCAGTGAGGAGAGAAACTGTCAGAGAAGGCCGAGTGGGGAGGAGAGCAATGTGAGCTGCAATGTCACAGGAGACTGAGCTCTCCTCCTGCACTGCCCCGCTCAGCCTCCTGTGACAAATCAGGATGGGCGGAGACAGCTGTCAGCTGTCACAGGAGGTCAAGGCGGCATTGAGGGGGAGAAGTCAGCTGTCGAACTAGAACAACCTCTCCTCCCCATCCCACCGGCTCAGCCTCCTGCGAGAGCCGATCCTGGATGGCGGACAACTACAAACATTCAGCGGTCAGTGATCGCTAAATATTTGTAAATAACTGGACATAGTAAGAGTTCCTATGTACCAGTTATGATTGAATGATGTAGATCACTTCCTTTTCATTCATGAATGTGTACATAGTAACTCGTACTATGTACACAACTTATGAATGAACAGGGGCACTCAGTATAGAGGATTCCTGTTCATTTATAACAGGGGATGCAGAAAAAGAGATTGAGGACTGTGTACGCAATCTTTTTTCTATGTTAAAATTAAAATATCAGGGGTCATATTTCACCAAAGCCCCCAGCAATAAAGTTAAAAAATACAAATTATTTAATAAAAACAAATAAATAAAAATAAATAAATAAAATATTTAAAAAATTTCAAAGTTTCAAAAATATATATTAAATTTGTTTTTAAAAAGGCTACAAAAAAAAAACTTTCGGTTTCGGCCTGACA